ATTTTTATGGTTTCCTGTCGTACATTTAAGTCCTTTATCCATTTTGAGTTTATTTTTGTGTATGGTGTAAGTTGGTGGTCTAGTTTCATTTTCTTGCATATATCTGTCCAATTTTCCCAACACCACTTATTGAAGAGACTATCTTGGCTCCATTGTATGTTCTTGCCTCCTTTGTCAAATATTAATTGAGCATATTGGTTCGGGCCGATTTCTGGGTTCTCTATTCTATAGTTTGTTCTAGATCTGTGAAGTAGGCCGTTGGTATTTTAATGGGAAGTGCGTTGAATTTATAGATTGCTTTGGGTACATACTACTCTTTTATTATATAGGATTTTTTACCAATCTGATATAAAATAGGTATAATTTTGATTTATTCACACTGGACAACTATTGTTGTGTTGGCTGTTGTCTTTAATTTTTTATTTTTATTTTAGAGGACATTTATTAAAGCTGGGGACAATGAAACAAGAAAGGACTGGGGAAATGGGCCTAGGTGGTCTGTTTTGGCTCACTAAAAAGTCAGAGAAAAGGGAGTCTTGGGGACAGGCTCAGGGGGCTTGCTCTGATGAACTGCCACTGCCCATTGCTACCCTGGTTCCAAGCCTTGTGGAGTCCCTTAGAGTTTAGGAGATGCATGCCTGTGGGGGAAGAAAGGGCAGGGGGGGAGACAAGGGCATGCTCCTGGGGGAGAGAACAAGCATTGGGTCCTTTGTCTTGAGGCTTTTATTTCTCTCTTGCAGATGACCCCCTGCCCTGACAGTGACCAATCAGTGGAGATCATGGATCCTGAAAGAGCAAACCTAGAAAACTGATGAATATTCTGCTGAAACCCTGTTCTGAGACCTCCCCTAAGATTCCCACCTGTTGTCATTTTTTAATTTGACAAGCTAAGGAAAAAGAGGTTCGTGCCCCTGACTAAATAGTCAGGTATTGCATGTATTAAAAATTCTTGTGGCACACTGGTTGAAAATCACTGCTATGAGATGACAAATGCTTATAAAAACAAACAAACAAAAAGCCACTAGTCCAATACAACCTCTCCATTGAAACATAAATGAAAATACTCCTTGATATAAAGATGCCTCCATCAAGATTAGAATAGTTTAAACTTTTAAATGAACTAAAGAAAAAGTATCAATCAGAAAGGCTCATTAATAGAAAAGTATGGAAATAAAAAAGAATAAAAGATAGAAAGAGAAACACAGTACAAGCATAGAAAAAGATCATCTGAAAGGGAGATTCCTGAGCCCATTCAATAACTACTCTAGGAAAAGGGTAGCCCACTATTGCCAACCATCAGTGGCAAGTATGTTTAGTGCATAAGGAGGTACGTTAAGCTTAGTTAAAAGCCACAAAATAGAAAAATAGTAAGACTAATCATCTTTGTTCTGGTCTATGCACACCAAGCTTTAGAGCAGTTCTTTCTTCTATTAATCAATTCTTACCCCCTTATTATACCAATATTTTACCCGGGTCCAAGAAGATTTTTTAAAAAAAATATATTTTTATTGATTTCAGAGAGGAAGGGAGAGGGAGAGATAGAAACATCAATGATGAGGGAGAATCAGTGATTGGCAGCCCCCCACCCCCCCCATTGGGGATCGAGCCCGCAACCTAGTCATGTGCCCCTGACCGGAATTGAACCCGGGACCCTTCAGTCTGAAGGTTGATGCTCTATCCACTAAGCCAAACCGGCCAGGGCGAAGATTTTTTCCTTGATAAACATTAGTTAGAATATGTCTGAATTTTGATCAATCAATTTTCTATCAATATAAAAATTCATTCCTTCTTAATTCAGGAAAGTTTTCTTGAGTGCATTATAATTTCAAACATTTATTCTCCTCTTTAAAAATCTTTTTCTTTTCCTCAGCAAGTCTAATTATGTATATGTTACATATACATAATTGCCTGTCTTCCAGTGCTGATATTTTCTCTCATCTATTACATAAAAAGCCTGTGGTCGTCACGCCATCATGCCTTAACGACCCATCAACAGGAGGCTGCGTGCATGGGGCTGCGGGTGTGGCGAGGTGTGCGCGAGTGGGCAGGGACTTGACTCTGAAGGACTTGACCAGAGGTGCAGATGGGTTTCTGGGTCCCGCCTCCCGGGGCAGTGGCGGAGGTGGCAGTGGGACTCTTTCTGGGTCCCACCGAGCCACGGGACACTGGGTCCTGGGTCTTGTACGATTTCGCGCACTGGGCCCCTAGTATCTTATAAAATTCGCTTTATTTTTGTTTCTTTTTATTTACATTGTATTGTATCCTTTATATCCCTTATTGATTTTTCTGCAGCGTCTTTGTGTTCCAATGTAAAATAACTTGTTTGCCTTCTTCTTTCCTGGGTTCTGCTAGCTCAAAATTAATCTCTTAAGCCATCTTTTCCTACATCTATTTTTACATTTCTACTTTGCCAACTTTCAAATAAGTGAACACATAAGTTATTAAAAACATTAAGACCAGGGGGGTGGGGGTGGGATCGATGGGAAAAAACAACAAAGGGTATCTGTAATACTTTCAACAATAAAGAAAAATTTAAACACGCATGCACACATACACACACACACCATTAAGATAAAAATTTCATCTAATTTATGCCAACTTTTTTTTTTTTGGTGTGTATACATGTCTGTGTGTGACTAACCTTTACCTGTTTCTAAGCTTTGCTGTCTGTTTCCACATTTTCTTATGAATATTTATGTATGAATGCCAGGCCAGTCACTTATTTTTAAATTTTTATTTATTTACTTATTTTTTGAATTTATTTTTATTGTTGAAAGTATTACAGAAGTCCCCCGTCTTTCCCCCATTGACCCCTCTCCATCCAGCAATGGCCCCCACCCCAGGCCTTCACCACAATATTGTCAGTGTCCATGGGTTATGCATATATGCATATAAGTTCTTTGGGTAATCTCTCCCCACCCACTCCTGCCTTCCCCTCTGAGATTCATCAGTCTGTTCCATGCTTCTATGTCTCTGGATCTATTTTGTTCATCAGTTTATTTTGTTCATTAGATTCCACATATGAGTGCAGATCATGTGATACTTGTCTTTCTCTGACTGGCTTATTTTATTTTAAATTACTTATTACTTAATGAGCTGGACAAGCTATTTGGCTGGACTAGAAAGTTTTGGGGTGCAGGAGGATGGGAACACAAGTTCCGTACAGCTTTTAAAACCAAAAGATTATCACATTATCTGATGCTATGAAGGCAGATTGCTTTACTCAAATATAGTTCCTCTACTTTTTTAAACCAAACCACATCAAGGATGGCTTCAGCCTGGCCACTCCAGTTACCATGAGGCATGTCATAAACAGGGAAAATGTTTTTATACTAAAAAAACAAGCCTCTCACCTTTAGGAAGTCCAATTTTCTGTCACATTCTAAATTCTGCCATCACTGAGCATTCTCAACATTGCATGTTTTTTCACTCTCCTCCTCTTTCTATGGGACCTCTACCAGAAAGATCTCCAGGTGCTTCAGCAACTGTACCTATTTTTTGTTACCCAGGTAGTCTATCTGTTTTCTTAGTTTTGCTTAATGTTAGGTGGAGTTGTATAGGTAGAAGTGTGTGTATTTGTTTTATTTTCTTTATTGCTTTTGTGTGTTTTCTGGGAGGCCAGGGAAAAGATACTGACTTACCCTTAATCATTCCTAAATAGTCTATGTTCCTTATCTATACTAGTAATAATAAAAGCGTAATATGCAAATTGACCAAACAGACTGAATAGTGGAATGACCGTCTGGATGACCTTTGGGACGACCTTCAGGACGAAGCCATGGCTGGCTGTGAGGGCTGAGGCAGCCGCTGGGGCTGTGAAGGCCTACTCTTGCACAAATTTTGTGCATCAGGCCTCTAGTAAACATATAAATGAGAGAGGCTTTATATAATACTAAGCAACCATGATTACAACTTGGCTTCCATAAAGTATACCTATAGGGCAAGAAGTATTGGCCAGAAGATAAAAGCATATGTAGCCCCACTTGCAGCTTTGTTTCTCACAAAAATTAATAAATTGGCATTGATTTCATATATTAATCCCTATTCATTCGGTTAATGTGAATTTACTTGGAATTTACCACTTATGTAAATGAATTTATCCATGTTCAGTTACTGAACCTAAACTGCTGAGGTTTTATAAGACTGCCCATATTATGAAATAGCAAGCAATGCCCAATATGCTATTTTGATTAGCTAAAAAACACATTAGATGTTGTTACAAAAATATATTCCACTCCAAGAAAAGAATCATAAATATAATTTATGATTGCTAAATTAGAGAATGTTTCACTTGGCTCCTTTAGTCACATCATTCTTTCCTTCTTCACTTTGCTATTTATGGACATTAACCAGGATGATATGTATTCTTTTGGGTGTTTAAGTTTTTTAAATCCCATTGAGATTTTATTAAACATTATATGTTTAATATGGCATGAACTCAAATTTTCTATTACCATCTTCTTCCCCTAGGAACTTAGTTAAGTCATATCCATGAGACTTCACTACCTAGAAACACATTACATCCCAAACTTGTAGTATTTCTTTTTATTTTAAATAGCAATAGAGGCTATTAGAAAAAGATCTTAAACATTGGTATCAATAAATATAATCTTATTCAAAAGTTAGAAATAACTGGGGTGACCTAATTTTCTTTGGCAATATCACTATCTTTGATTATGGTTTTTATTATCCTTTTGGATCACTGAGTTATTCACTAAAAGATATGTGTCTGGTTAGAGGACAGATATTTAAAAGTAAACACATGAAAATTACTCCAAATAATGGTAGAATACTCAAATGAGTTGGCAAATAGAAATTCCTACATACTATTAAAAACACTTTGACTTGGATAGTGAATTATATATTCAGACTACATATACCAGATTAATAAATCAGACCAAAACATAAAAAAAGGAATTTAAGCTTGGAAAGTAAAATATTATTAAGAGGAAGAATTCTAAAAACTGAAGTAACATAATCATAGATAGCAAGAATTTTACCTTCAGGTCGATATTGTGCAACAATTGTGACAGCTTGGCCAGCATTTTTCAAAGCAGCTGCTGCCTGCTCATGGCTGGCAGTTCTGAGGTCAACACTGTTTACCTGTTAATCAAACCAAATTTTAAATTTGAAAGAAAATGATCACATTCTTTAGAAATCACAATAGCCTATTCTTTAAAGAGGCATAGATAAATTTATATGCAATTATTTTATAACTAAAATATATTCTTGTTCTGATTTACTAAAATTTATCGCACAGTGAAACAAAATATTATTTTCAATCAAAGCAATTTTACTCACTGAAAATACTTTAAGTTCAAATGAGGAAAACCAAAACACTTCCCCCCAAGTGTTTTAGAAGGTTGTCTATCAATCACTTGAGAAATGTACCTTAATTTGACAACCTGAAAAATCAATATGTATCATCATTTCGTACATTTCATCTCACTAGTAATTCAAGCAATGGGGGGGGGGGGAGAGATATTAATTTTGTAGCATCCTTTCAACTCCTGTCATATTTTCATTCTTATTTCTCACCTCAGTTCCAATTCTCTTCATTCCTTTCCCAAATTAAAGCTTCATTTTTTTTGAATTAATAGAAAAACAATTATTTAAAAGAATTAAAGTAACTCAGATTTCAAGGACTAACTACATTTAAATAGAGTAAATGTTACTAAATGAGTAAGGAGACATTTTTGAATAAAGGGTCCTTCTGGGTGAAATAATTACTGAGGTGATCAATTCCATTCCAGAATAAGAAGCAACTTATTTCTGAAAGGATGGCAATACCTAATATATACTTCAAGGTATCTTAAGAGATTGTACTTTTTCCATTGTAAGAAAAATTTAACAGGACATTCATGGAGCGTTACATTCGAATGTAACAAACTTTAAATATTCAGGTAGTTTTTCCCCTCTAAAAAACAGCAACTAATAGAATGTCAGGACCGTCACTGAACATTTTTGGAAAAAAAGAAAAACCATCATACAATTTTTACATGAGAACCTGTTTGGTCAGCACCTAATCTAAAACCTATTAATGATCACATACTAATTTTGGAAATTGTAGGGATCATAAAATTTACACAAAAGAACACTTTAATCATGTAAGGTGTTTTATATTATATTTAAAGGATATCACAATGCAACTATAGAACACACATATTTCTCAAGTGAAAACCAAGGTCCAAACACCTTAATCTAAACATTATATATAAATCACATAATATATAATGTGATTTTACTAGAGAATAATATCCCATTGTAATGAATATTCCACAAGTATTTTACTCTAGCTGAGGGCTATACAAAACTCAATACAATATATAAATAGTTCTACTTTGAGCATAAAGAAAATCCTCCTAATTTCTAGGAGAACAAATTAGGGAAGGAATATAAAGAAAGGTAAAATTTCACTGATTATTGTAGAGAAAAATCACAATTTTGAAATATTCCTGAGCATCAAATCCTTTTGCTATAGAAAAGAGTTGAAGACAATCTATATAGATTCAGAAAAGAATAGTTTGTTAATAAGAAAACAAGTTAAAGACTTTCTTAAATATCAACTGAACATTTTAATGGAAGATCATCAAATATACTTTAGAAAAATGCTTGTACTGAGACATTTGTGTAAATAGTCTCAGGGTCCCTTTTCTATACTAACACTTAAAAAAGGAGATATAATTTACATAAAATTTATACTTGCATTTTAAACTAGAGGCCTGGTGCATGAAATTCATGCACGGGTAGGGTCCCTAGGCCTGGCCGGTGATCAGGGCCAATCAGGGCCTTCTGGCTGCCGGCCGGGGCCTCCCTTTCCTGGCTGCCGGCTGGGGCACATGTCATAGCAAGTGGTAGAACTCCCGAGGGGGCAATTTGCATATTAGCTTTTATTATATAGGATCCTCGTCTGAGGACATGCTGAGAGAAAGAGAAGGGGGGGGCAATTAGAGACAGAGAAACAGAAACAAAGAAAGAGGGAGGGAGAGAGGAAGAAAGGGAGGGAGGAAAGTAGGGAAGGAGGGAAGAAGGAAGGGAGGGAGGGAGTGAAAGTGGGAGGGAGGGAGGGAGTGAGAGTGAGGGAGTGAGAGAGAGAGATGTGAGAAACGTTAATTGGTTGTCTTCCATATTTTCCCCGACTGGGCATCAAACCTGCAAACCAGGTATGTACCCTGAATGGGAATTGAACTGGCAACCTTTTGGTGCCCAGGACAAAGCTCAACCAACTGAGCCACTCTGACTGGGCTAAAATTCATACTTTTAAAGAGTAAAATTTAGTAGTATTTAGTATATTCATAAGAATGTGCAACTATCACCATGATCTAATTCCAAAACATTTTCATCACTCAAAAAAGAAATACCTATTAGCAGTCATTTCTCCCTTCCCTCTCCTCTTAGTTCCTTGCAACCATTAATCTACTTTCTGACTCTATGGATTTGTCTATTATGTACATTTTAAATAAATGGAGTACTATAATATATGACCACTTGTGCTTGGCTTCTTTCACTTAAAAATGTTTTCATGATTCATCCTTGTACCACGTATCGATACTTCTTTATTTATTACGGCTGAATAATATCCCATTGTAATGAATATTCCACAAGTATTTTACTCTTTTTAAATAGAATTTAAATACTCTTTAGATATTACTATAAATAGAATCATTTTCTTAATTTCACTTTCAGATTAGCCAATGCTGATATACAGAAATAGAACTGGATTTTGTATAGTGATTCTCTGTCCTACAAATGGCTAAATTTGTTTATTAGTTCTAATAGTTTTTTGTTGTTGGATTTCCTATGATTTTCTAAATACAAGATCATGGCATCTGCAAATAGAAATGGTTTTCCCTTTTGATTCAGAAGCCTTTTATTTCTATTTCTTGCCTACCTGCCCTATCTAGAAACTCTAGTAGTATTTTAGCATTTCGTATGATGTAAGCTATCAGTTTTTCTGAGACTTGTTATAAGGTTAAAGAAGTTCTCTTCTGTTCCTAATTTGTTTTGTGTTTTTTCTGATGTAAAGGTATTGGTGTTCAACAAGTGCTTTTTTGGTGCCTACAGATATTCATGTGGTTTATGTCCTTTATCAAAATGGTGTCTTCTTTGGTTGGATTTTGTATGCTGAACCAACCATGCATTCTTTTAAGTCCCCTTGATTATGATGCATATTCCTTATTTTGATAGTGTATAATTCTTTTTTATTCTGCTGGATCTTTTGCTATGTTGTTGAGGATTCTAATATCTTTATACATAAAGGATTCTGGTTTGTAGTTTTCTCTTCTTGTGCTGTCCTTGTTTGGTTTGACATAAGAATAACACTGGCCTTGTAGAATGAGTTGGGAAGTGATCTTCATGTCTACTCCTTTTGGGGAAGAGTTAATTTTTGGTAGACTACAGCAGTGAGGCCATTTGATCCTGGGTTTTTTCCTTTGTGGAAAGTTTTGATTAATTCAATCTCCTTAATTATTTAGGTCTATTTAGATTTTATATTTCTCCTTGAGCTAGTTTCAACAGTTTATATGTCTTTCTAGAAAGTTACCAACAATTATATAACACATACAACTATATACCATATATAATCTATATAACACATATTATAAAATGTCCTTTACCTTTAGTAACAATTTTTGAGTTAAAGTTTACTTTGTCTGATATTAGGATAGCCACTTTAGGTGTTTCTTGGTTACTGCTTGCACGGTCTCTTTTCCAACCTTTTCAATTTCTGCTGAAAGTAAATAGCTTTTATTTAAAAAAAAAAATAAAAATCTAGAATATGTCCCTTGTAGAAAAGTTACAGTTGGATCTTGTTTTTCAATCTACCCTGTCAATATCTTGTGTTTTAATCCTCACATGTGGATATTTTTCCCATTAATTTTTAGAGAGTGAAAAGGAAGAGAGAAGGAGAGAGGGACAGAGGAAGTGAGAGAAAGAAAGAGCAAGAAAGAAACATCAATATGAGAGAGACATCAATGGTTGCCTCTCCCACATCCAGGGATTGAATTTGCAACGGAGGTAGGAGCCCCTGACCAGGAATTGAACTTGCAACCCTTCAGTTCGTGGGCCAATGCTCCAACCACTGAGCCACATCGGCCAGGGCATATTCTGTGTTTAATCCATTTACATTCAGTGTAATTAAAAAAGTAAGATTTATATCTCATCCATTTTGCTATTTGCTTTATGCCTTATGTCTTTTTTGTTCCTCTATTCCTTTATTACTACCTTTTGTTAAATAGATGTTTTCTAGTGTATCATTTTACTAGTAATTCCCTGGTCATTTTAAAATTATGCCTATTTTGAGTTATTTTCTTAGTGATTTTTCTCTAAAATAACATCTTATAAAATAATCTACTTTGGATTAATACTAACTTAATTTCAATAGTATAGAAAAACTGCTCTAACTGTGCCCTCTACCCCTTTGTGACATTAGTATCATATTTATATGAAACCTTTGTACAATGTGTGCCTATCAACACAGATTTAAAATTGTTTTATCCAGTTGTCTTTTAATCAGATGGAAGAAAAAAGTCAAAAAACATTCACTGATGCTGTTTTATATTTACTTATGTAGTAACTTTTAAAGATGTTCTTTATTTCTTCACATGGATTTGGGTTACTCTCTAGTGTCCTTTTATTTTAGTCCGAAGGAATTCTCCATAGTATTTCTTGTAGGGAAAGTTTACTAGAGATTAACTTCCTCAGCTTTTGTTTATCTTGGAATATCTTATTTGTTCTTCGTTTCTGAAGGATAGTTTGGCTGGATATAGAATTCTTGATAAACAGTCTTTACCTTTAAAAACGTTGAATATGTCATCCCATTGCTTGTGGGCTTTGGCCATTATTTTCATTGTTTTTGACAAGAAATCACTTGTTCATCTTATTGAGGCTTCCTTGTATGGGCATCATTTCTCCCTTTCTGCTTTTAAGATTCTTTCTTTTGTTTTCTGACAGTCTGATTTTGATGGGTCTATGGTGTGGATTTCTTTAAGTTTATTCTAACTGGAACTTACCAAGCTTCTCAGATATGTAAAAATTAAAAAAATAAAATAAAAGGAAAAGTTTTTAGCCCTTATTTTTACTTATTTTTTTTTTATAATCCTCAC